TAACACCCATGCCAATGATTTCTACAAAGACCCTGTTTTTAAGTTCGGTCATGGTCACAGATACCAGAGGTTAGGATTTCAACAGACCTTTTTGGGGGGAGTGGGTGGAGGGAGTACACCCTTCAAGCTACAACAGGAAATTTAACAATTTTTTTTTGACAGGCAGAGTGGACAGTGAGAAAGAGAGAGACAGAGAGAAAGGTCTTCCTTTTTTTCTGTTGGTTCACCCCCCAGTGGCCACTGCGGCCAGCACGCTGGGGCTGGCGCACCACGCTGATCCGAAACCAGGAGCCTGGTGCTTCTCCTGGTCTCCCATGCAGGTGCAGGGCCCAAGAACTTGGGCCATCCTCCACTGCCCTCCCAGACCACAGCAGAGAGTTGGACAGGAAGAGGAGCGACGAGGACAGAATCCGGTGCCCTGACCGGGACTAGAACCCAGTGTGCTGGCGCCGCAGGCAGAGAGTCTCCTAGGGCTCCTCTTTCCATTGAAGGAAACAAACATTGTAGCTCAGATCATTGGGACATAGAGATCTCTTAGTGACCAGAACTGCATACTCTAGACAAAATTTGAAACATCAGAAAAAATCTGGTGAGTTTGCACTGTCTGTGAACACTACGATAAATAACATGGTCAGAGCTCCTGGAAGAACCTACCATGAGACAAAGTTTCTCCCTTCCAGAAAAGATTTGGGAGTGATATGCCGGGTACAGTAGAATTATCAAAGAGTTCTTAGCATAAAATGGCACTGTCTACTTCTCTATGCCACTTTAAATAATACTATTACTGACCCCAAGGAAGAGGTAAGTCCAAGCCCAGTTGTTTCTGCAGAATCTGCAGATCTCTTTGCTTTCAGCCCTAGGAAATTGGAAGTCATTCATATAAACACACTGACATCTTTCAACAGCTGGAAGGCTCATTCTGTGTGTTAACACAGCAGGAAACAACCAAAACTTGAAGGAGAAGTGATTGGCATGTGGACACACTGTAAGAACTGCAGTGGACAACAATTACATTGCTCAGAGAATGCTTCACAATTGGAAGGAAGAGAATTATGTCAGCGCTGAAAGATTTCACAGCTGTGCCCCCCAAACAAACCTGGAATGCACATTATAGGTACTGGAAACAAAAGAGCCTATTATTTTGTCTCCTTTAGGTAAGTGGTAAAGTACTGGGAGGTGGCAGGAAAGATAATCCGAGAGGGCAATTCAGGCTCATTTTCAGTGCCTGGGGCCTTTGCTGGTTGTCATTTTCCATGTGGACCCACCTCTCCCAAAAGGCAAGGTGAGGATCTGTGCAGAATGTATGAGCTCGGGTCTGCTCACGCTTTCCCTAGACCCAGAGTGATGATTTTACTGTATTGATTTATTGTTCATAAAGTTTCAAGCTAGATGGGAAAAACCAATTTAATCCCTTGATTTAAGGAAGCCTCTAGGGCCATTCAACATTTAAGCAGGAATGATAAACAGAAGCCAGTAAGTGCTGCACCTCCTCCCCACCCCACCTGTAGTTTGGATTATAAACCACATGCACATCTTGTTTGAGTTATTAGGTGCCCTCTCTCACCACTTGACTTTCCTTTGCCCTCAAGCACCTTCTTAGGTTCTGTCACTAGGGGGGCGCTAGAGAGAAACTCTGGTTTCTATCATCATCAGCACAGCTGCTGTTGTTCATCCCAGCTGGATGCAGTTGGGTTCAGTTCTTTCCATAGTCTAGAACCAGCCCCACAGTACTCTGTCCGAGGCACCAACCCAGCCGGCCAGCGCCTGTTCCTCAGACATCTGAGGCTCCATCCAGGCCCCACCGCAGCCAAGTGGCTGAGAGAGCCATGCCCTTCCCCGAGTGTCTCCCCGCAACTCTCCCAGCACAAAGGGATCCCTGCAGAGTGTTCCCCCTTGCCTTTTCAGCTCTGCAGTAGCTGTCACCCAATTCCTTATATTCAATTATTCTTGTTAGCAGATGGGTGCCAAGTGTTAATTCCCTATTTTTCTACTGGGTCTTTTTTTTTTAATTTTTTTTTAAATTTTTTGACAGGCAGAGTGAGGCAATGAGAGACAGAGAGAGAAAGGTCTCCCTTCAGTTGGTTCATCCTCCCAAATGGCTGCTACAGCTGGTGCGCTGTGCTGATCCAAAGCCAGGAGGCAGGTGCTTCCTCCAGGTCTCCCATTCAGGTGCAGGGCCCAAGCACTTGGGCCATCCTCCACTGCACTCCCGAGCCACAGCAGAGAACTGGACTGGACAAAATCCGGTGCCCTGACCGGGACAAAATCCGGTGCCCTGACCGGGACTAGAACCCGGTGTGCCGGTGCCACAGGCGGAGGATTAACTTAATGAGCCACGGCACTGGGCCCTACTAGGTCTTAACAGAAAGGCACTTATATATTAATATGATTTCTCTATGTATTATTTATTTTAGCACTGCATTTGCTATATATCTATAGGTCATTTACTGACATGCTTTGCAAAGTTCATAGAAAATACACATCATTAAAAACAACAACAACAACAACACACACACACACATACACACACATCCAGGGGCTGGCTCTGTGGCATACTGAGTAAAGCTGCACTGTGGCATAGCGAGTAATACAGTGCTAGCATCCTGTGTGGGCACTGGTTCGAGTCCCGGCTGCTCTACTTCTGATCCAGCTCTCTGCTGTGACCTGGGAAAGCAGAAGACAAGACAGCCCAAGTCCTTGGGTCCCAGCACCCCAGTGGGAGACCTGGAAGGAACTCCTGGCTCCTGCTTCGGATTGGCATAGGCTTGGCCATTGCAGCCAATTGGGGAATGAACCAGCGGATGGAAGACCTCTCTCTCTGCCTCTCCTTCTCTCTCTGTGTGACTCTGACTTTCAAATGAATAAATAATTATTTTTAACAACTTCAATTTTTAATAATGGAAACAATTTTGCCATTCCAGAAATTATTTTAGGGGAGAAAAATCTTCCCTATAAAAATAAACTCATCAAAATTATAAATATTATAACTTTTTTACTTCTGCGATTTCAATGCTGCCCTTCAACACCGCCCCTGCGTGTAACATCTTCCCTGTACCATCACCTACTGAAGAGAAACAGCATCAGGCAAAGCTTGGAAACGCTAATGATGATCGCACGATGATTTGTAACAAGTCTTCGGCCATAGAGGCCGTTTTCCTTCTTTGACACATTACAAATGCTGCTGCAGTTTCCAGTGTTGGGAGAGAACATCAGTCTTCAAGAACCACGACCTGGCAGGATTCCAAGACAGTTAAGTTTTCCAAATCGCAACTTGTAGTGCACATGACAGTGAGCGAGGTTCCGGATAAATACAGATTGAGGATGCCTGTTTTAGACAAATCTCTACTTCAAGTAAAAAAAAAAAAATTCACAGATACCTATCAGCTACTACCTTAAGTTCTAACAGTGTCTTAATCTGAGAAACAAATGCTTCACCAAATATAAACTCACTGGGTTGAGTAATTAAAAGACCAGGTGGCTGACGACAGCATACTCAAGCCTCAAGGTCTGAACAGTAAAACCAGTATGCAACTCACAAAGGCAGTCCCTGAACAATAAAGTGTCAGATGACAATGTCACTAAAGCCTCATCAATGCCTAAGAAGTTACATGCAAAATTAAACAAGAGGTGCCATACATATTTTATAGCTAGTTCTACTTCTATTTTTTTTCCAACTTTCCTGAAAAGCTTATGAAGATAACGATTGTCTCAGTTACTCAGGTGCCACAGCAGAACCAACATGGAATCTGCCTCCAGCAACAAGGGGATTCTCTGAAAAGCAGGGAGACAGAAATACAAGGCACAGTTCACCAAAGAGGCAAAGAACTGAAGCACCTTGGAATTTCAATAGGAATCCATTAGGTGTCACCAAAGTGTTAACAATTCCTTGGGAATTTATAAAACAAGACAAAAAAAAAAAAAAACTAGATAAAGCTACGACATAAGGCCCCTCTGAAACCACAGCACGCCTTTCCCCACTTGCAGATACATGCTGCGTAAAATGAGGTCATGTCGCCTGTTTTAAGGAAGGCTTCTATTGCACAAGCATCTCTTTGGTTGGAAGGAACAGGCGCCTTCGTTACATTACAGCCAGGACAAACGCCTGCGGTGAGGTCAGCGGGGGGCGGGGGCCTTTTCTCCCTCCTTGCGTAGAACAGAGAAGGCTGGGGTGGCCCTCGCTCTTCAATCAATCAGGAGGAGAGAGAAGGAGAGGCAGGATGGAGGAAGGGGGTGGGGGAGGGAAAGCAAGAGAAAAGGCAGGACAGGGGACAAGGACTGGGCGGGGGAGAGGGGTTGAAGAAAATGGGCAGGGAGTGATTGTCACCCAAGTTTGCTCAAGGCCCTTTGCTCCCAGCTGACGGTCAAGGGGAAACCAGCTGCCCTTACTTTGGAAACAACTCTTGGTGGGGAAAACAGGAGGCAGTAAAGGGCCAAGGCCCGAACCAGTCAGACCTTCCACTCCCCAGAGCGCAGCCCTGGCTGGGCGAGGCCCCGCTATGTCCAGGCCGCATCCTGTGCTCAGCTCACAGCTCCTGGCTCCCTCCTTTGGCTTAGCTCCTACCTCTTTGGCTCTGTTCCCACATTGAACCCACAAGGCAATCAAGCAATCCTAAAACTGGCTGAGTATCTCCACACTGAATGCCTTTCACTCTATAAGCCTCTACCACCAACTCTGCAGCCCAGCGTGTCCCGGGCCTTCCGCGTCTCCGCCTCCGCACGTGCCTTCTTCCAAACTTGCTCTGAACGTTCTTCCTCAAACTCCTCCTCGGATGTCTAGGCGTTCCTAGACTCCCGTGCCTTCGAATTCACATGGATCGTTTCCTCTCAACACTTATAAAACCAGACATGGACAGGTAGTTTCAACACAGAACGAGCATTCTGAGAGATTCCTCGTTAAGCTTTGAAAAAGTCATCTGCACATCCTGAAGCTTAACATCTTCCTCACAGAACTAAAACAAACTAAAAGAAGATAAAAACACAAAAACACAGAGTTCATGCTTCCAAGCACTCTAGACGCTCCTGCCAAGGCTGCCTGCGGGCCCCGGCTCGCTGCCATGGAACAAGCTAGCAGAGTCCCTTACACAGTGGCTAAAGGTGCAGGAGGCTGCGTGACCAGGTCATAGGAACTAGATCTAGAGAGAAAAGGAGGAAGACCCTAGCGTCCCAGGGCGAGCACACAGCCCTCTGCAAAGCGAGGCACTTGGGTGCGTGGGTCCCGCCGCGTGGCCTCCTGGCAGGGAGCCGGCCGCTCTACCCGGGCTTCTAGCCCTCGCCCAGGGCCTCTTCCAGCTTCTGTCTGTAGGCAGAGTAGCGCCACCTCAGGCTCTGCAGCTGCTCGTCTTCTTCTTTGTCCAGCAAGCGCAAGAAGTTCTGCAGCTCTGGAAGGCTGAAGGCTTCCCACTCTCCGATTTCATGTTCACGAAGAACAAAGCTAAGTGTGTCTGTTCTGGGCCCTGCCACCAAACGCAGGTACAGTGGATGCTCCCGGTCTGACAGCTTGCAGGCGTAGACTTGGTCTTCCCTGTGACAACGCTTATAAAGTGCAAACTTGGCAGGGCTCTCGGTCACGAGGAACTTTTTGAGCAGGACCTCAATCACTTCCCCGACAGTGTTTGTGCTGCTGATATGAAGCGTGTTCATACAGCCGTTGCTGCCGGGCGCGAGCTTCCCCGACATCTGGGTGGGTTTGCAGAGTTCCATCTGCACTTTAATGAAGCCAGTGTAAATCCCGTTTGAATTCAAAGTCATTTTCAACTTGTCTGTGACTGCCAAATTGTACTTATGAACTTTCTCTTTGATTTCCTCTTTGCTGAGGTAATTGTGAGTTTCCTTCTCTTTCTCCACATCTTGCTGGCCCGCGCGGGGCTTGCCCTGAGGCGCTCTCCGGAAGAAGGAGGTCCTGGCGGTGAAGAAGAAGTCCTCGGCGTCCTCCTTCAGGCTGCTGTAGCCGCTGCTCATGCGCAGGCGGCCACGCAGCGGGTACCGCGCCCCCACGCCCGGCGAGGTTCCCGGCGCGCGGCCCCGAGCCGCCGGCGGGCCGTCCTGCTGCAGCTGCGGCCGCCGCTCCACCAGCCAGCCTGCCGTCCGGGACCCTCCATAAATAATTATTTATAAAAAAACCTATGTGTGGGTCTCAAAATGTTTTTGCACCAAAAGAAACCTACATTTTAATTCCATTTCCATGAACTTTTTGAAGTACCCTCATATTCGTTTGCATGGAGCTCACATGCATCAACAGGCAATCTGTTTAACTTGGTCCCCAGATCCCTCATCTTAAAGAATGCTCTAGACTGTTTGTTTATTTTCAAAGATTGATTTATTTATTTGAAAGGTAGAGTTATAGAGAGGCAGAGGCAAAGAGAGAGAGGTCTTCCATCTGCTGGTTTGCTCCCAAAATGGCTGGAGCTGGGCCGATCTGAAGCCAAGAGCCAGGAGCTTCTTTTAGGTCTCCCACATGGGTGCAGGGGCCCAAGTACTTGGATCATCTTCTGCTTTCCCAGGCCATAGCAGAGAGCTGCACTGTCCACTCTGCCTGTTAAAAAAAAAAAAAAAGCAGGGAGCTGGATCAGAAGTGAAGCAGCTGGGGCTTGAGCCTGTGCCCACAAAGGATGCCAGGACTGCAGGTGGCAGCTTTACTTGCTATGCCACAGCACCGGCCTCTGTGTGTGTGGGGGGGGCGGGGATGCTGGCACTGCAGGCAGCAGCTTTACTTGCTGTGCCACAGCACCGGCCTCTGTGTGTTGGGGAGGGGAGTGCTGACACTGCAGGTGGCAGCTTTATTTGCTATGCCACAGCACTGGCCTCTGTGTGTTGGGGAGGGGAGTGCTGACACTGCATGTGGCAGCTTTCCTCTGATCCCACTCTAGAGTGTTTAAACACTGCCTGACCTGAAGGGCATGGGTACTAGGAAATCGGTCATTAGTTGAGTCACGACATCATTCACATCCCCAACGTCCCCAGCACAGCAACTGTAATCACAACTTTCAAGACTGCTTAGACCATCATCAATGACTTGCAGCTCTGTAAAGCTCAGCCAATTATTGTCTTGGGATAGTGCAGGTTAAATATTTGAGCCACAAAGGATGCATTGTTGTGTCCTGAGTAAAATTTCCATAATGAAAGCGAAGGCCCACTTTATTAACCAATAAGCCGGGCAACCTTTCCTGGGATTAGTGTGGGATATTAGGAGATTTTCTCTTCATTTTGTGAGTACTAGACCATTGTGTGATTTGACCCTGAAAGGAAAGCCAGATCATCAGAATGTAGGAGACTCTGAGCCACGCACACTTCAGGAGACTCATAATGGCTAAAAGATGCAGATGTGGTGGCAGTGCTCCTCCAGCATGAGTGTGAAATACCAGCAAGCCTATTTGAGTAGAAGTTTTCACTCACAGGAAGAACTCATGCCATGCCTGGGAGTTTTAATGAAAACAAACCTTATAAATACAGACAATAAATCATCAATACACCTTGATCAGGCCCATCTGACAACTATTAACAGATTCTTCGAGATTGCAAGGTTTCTGAGAAGAAGCAGGAACAACCCACAAAAAGGCAGTGGAAACCCAGACAGCAAGTAGCTGTTACACAGATGGCAGAAGCTGCACTAAAAAACTCATGTTTAAGAAAGAGAGTGGGGAGATGAGTCAGCATTGTATTTTATAGTTGTTTGGATCCTAAGTTTGGTGTCTCTAAATTCCAAAAGAAATCAAATGCGTAGGAAGCACAGCAACCTGAAACCATGAGCATTTTACAGCAAACTTAGAGATGTGCATGGAGATACTGGATTTTGCAGTAATTAAAGAACTACATTTACATGGTGTGATGAATCCACATTTCCTCCCCTTTGACTTCTGGCTCAGTCACTTCCACTTCACACTGAAAATTATGCACACAACTTTCCATTTTCCACCGTAAGAACCAGTACATTTCTCTGAAAAAATATTTCTGACGTAAAGGGTGAGAGAAAGTTTGGGGTGTGAAAGCTGTGATTTCTGCACGTCCATGCACGCCATGGATGATGGACTCTGCTGCTTCCGAGAAGCAGCTTTGGCCATCTGTGGAAGAGCTGCCTGCTGTCTGGGTTTCCGCTGCCTTTTTCTGGGTTGTTTGCGCTTCTTGTTGAATCCAAGGCCTTTCTGGGGCACACGTCCATCACCGCACACAGCTGAAACCTCTCTGGCCATTCCTTTCTCCTCTCCCTCCCCCCTTCAGGAGAGCAGAGAATGGTTGCTTCTGATGCTATGAGAACAAAGCATATTTCACAGCTCTGTTGCAAAGCATGCATTGCTCAGAAAGAAAAACCTAGAGCAAAGCCACTGCATTGCCTTGGAGTTCTCCCCCTCGCTGTGATGAGAGTGGTCTCTGCACTGCCCTGGTTCTTAGAGTACACTGGGTGCTTGGACTCCAGGATGCCTGGCTTAACCAACAATGATATAGAATGCTCAGTTAAATCTGAATTTCAAGTAAAAAAAAATAACACTTGTTAAGCATGCTCCATGTCCTTATGTGTTGTTTGTGTAAAGTCCACACTCAGGCATCCTGGGTTTTGTCTATTCAAGGCCCACATTTCCCCCTTGTTCTAATCCCTGAGCCCTTGGCAGAGGCCAGACACAAAAGCCCTTACAGAGAAGTCATTGCCTTGCCTTAGAAATTTCAGAGCATCGGGGTAGCTGGGGTCCCTTGGGTCACACCAGCACCCCTCCTAGGGCCTTCCCCAGAACTGTAAGAGGGTAGCTTTTGCGCTGCCTTGGTTTCCTTCATGTGTGCTGGCCGGTCAGCCAGGAGCTTGATTTGCTGGGCCAACACTAATGCCTTCAGCCTTGGAAGTGGCAGTTGATTTGTTCTTCTGCCTGGCCCCTAATTTTCTCACATACTCCAGTCTCCAGGATACATCCATGCCCTAATCTCTTGGAAAAGAGCCCAGATCATGGGAATGAGCTGCACAAGCCACGCAAGGCTGGTCCCAGCATTGCTTCTGCAGTGTTCACTGTGGATATGGATGCCATGGGCAGGGTCTCTGATGTCTAAAATGCTGATTGCCTTGGCTACTCAGAGGTGGAGCTGGTGCAGATGGTGGTGGATGATCTGAAGCTGCTCACTGAGATGGAGCCTTGGCTAGAGCAGAGCCAGGCCATCAATAACCTCAGGCCTGCCCAGAAGTGAAGTCGGCTGTGCATGCCCCCAGCCCCACGGCTTCCTAACTTACTGCCCAGGCAGCACCCACCATGCACCCTGATGTTCACCACCTGGCAGCTGATAGCCCTTAGCCTCGCTGTAGAGACATCTTCTGTCACCTTGGTAGAGTATGTATGATAGGACTATACTCAGATTTCTAAGGTATCTCCAAACTGATTTCCATAGTGGCTTTACCATTTCACACTCCCACCAACAGTGGATTAGGGTACCTTTTTCCCCATATCCTTGCCACCATTTGTTGTTTGTTGATTTCTGAATGAAAGCCATTCTTTTTTTAAGATTTATGTATTTTACTTGAAAGTCAGAGTTTCACACAGAGAGAAGGAGGGGAGACAGAGAGAGAGAGAGAGAGATATCAAGGTCTTTCATCCACTGGTTCACTCCCCAGTTGGCCACAATGGTCACAGCTATGGCAATCAGAAGCCAGGAGCCAGGAACTTCTTCCTGGACTCCCAGGCAGGTGCAGGGGCCCAAGGGCTTGGGCATCTTCTACTGCTTTCCCAGGCCACAGCAGAGAGCTGGATAGGAAGTGGAGCAGCCAAGACTCAAACCGGTGCTCATATGGGATGCCAGCACTGCAGGTGGTGGTTTGACCTGCTAGCCACAGCACCACCCCCGAATGAAAGCTATTCTTACTGGAGTGATGTGAAAAACCTCATTGTGGTTTTGATTTGAATTTCCCTGATACCTAATGATCCTGAACATTTTTTCATGTATCTGTTGGCCATTATAATTTACTCTTTTGAAAATATCTGCTGAAGTCCTTGACCCATTTCTTTTTTCTTTAAAATAGATTTTATTTTGTTCAACTTTTATTTAATAAATATAAATTTCCAAAGTACAACTTTTGGATTATAGCAGCTTTTCCCCCCATAGCCTTCCTCCCATCCACAACCATCCCATCTCCTACTCCCTCTCCCATCCCTGGGTTGCTTGTTTTGTTGTAGTGGAGTTTCTTAATCTCTTTGTAGATTCTGATTATTAATCCCTTATGAGTAGCACAGTTTGCAAATACTTTCTCCCATACTGTTGGTTGCCTCTTGACTTTCCTGAGTGTTTTTTTTTTTTGACAGTAGAGAAAATTTTCAATTTAAGGTAAAACCAATTGTTGATTTTGGCTTTAATTGCCTGTGCCTCTGGGTTCTTTTCAAGAAATCTTTGCCTATGCCAATGTCTTGCAGGGTTTACCTAATGTTCTCAGGCAATTTCATGGTATCAGGTCATATATTAGGTCTTCAATCCATTTTGAATGGATTTTTGTGTAAGGTCTAAGGTAGGGTTCCTGCTTTATACTCCTGAATGTGGAAATCCAGTTTTTCCAGCACCATTTGTTGAAGAGACTATCCCTGCTCCAGGGATTGATTTTAGCTCCTTGGTCAAATATAAGTTGATTGTAAATGTTTGGATTGATTTCTGGTGTTTCTATTCTGTTCCATTGGTCTATCCATCTGTTTTTGTACAAGTACCAGGCTGTTTTGGTTATAAATGCCTTTTAGTGTGTCTTGAAATCTGGTATTGTGATGCCTCCGACTTTGTTTTTGTTGTATAAGATTGCTTTAGCTATTCAGGGTCTCCTGTGTTTCCATCTGAATTTCAGAATCATTTTTTTCTAGATCTAGGAAGAACGTCTTTGGTATTTTCATTGGTATCACATGGAATCTGTAGATTGCTTTTGGAAGAAGGGACATTTTGTTGACATTGATTCTTCCAATCCATGAACATGGAAGAGAATATGGAAGAGTTTTCCATTTTGTAGTATC